CTGCACCAAAACCCATAGGGGTGAGCATAAAGCCCAGTAGAGAAATCCTTAACAAAGTATATACATTTATGTAAGATGCCCAACATTTAATGCAATGAGATGCCATGCCATGTTCTTTTTTAAAAAAAATGAAATCGTATGCCATGCTTATTAGAAAAGTCATCATGTTTTCAACTACATTTTTAATCACATTGATTCCAACATCCAGTTTACTCAAGAGGAGCGGTAAATACGACTCTGGTAATCCCTAGGCTGGTGTCTGCAAGTAGACTATACAAGTACTACCAAACTGTCATTTTTATTGGTATTAACTGGAAGGCTCGACACCTATCCGCGCGGCTTTCTGGTCTTTCACCATGGACACTAAGGCCAACTTATCAAGTTCAACTACACCCCCTATCCGGACTTACCAATGTATTTACCCCTTTAACATTTCCATTAGTTCCCAGTTCACAAGACGTATGTATAACTTTTCACAAAGTGAATATTTCCAACTTTAATTCCAAGATGCAAATTACCAAATGAATGAAAATGCAATGCAATCACTTGTTCATGACCTGTGGGTTTTCCTCAAATTTCAAGTTATTCCAACGACATTGTCCAGCCATTACATTTCTCATTCTCTCTTATCGATATCATTTCATGATATAGTCCAAGATTTGGTATCATGGATCTTTATACAATAACGAAATTATCATTCGTATAATTTCACATTCTAAATATCCCAAAGTCATACCAATACTTGAAAACTAATTTCCATATACTACAATACTCATACATCATGGAACCAACATTGTACAATTTGTAATCACACACATGTATATATATATATATACATATCTTGCCAACAAATCAAGTGAGGTTTCCAATTTATATGAAACTAGAGTCTTCATGATACAACACAAATAAGAATTTTTCACTCACCCTTTCATTAATCTCAAGAACGTCCCTTGATTTATCCAACATTCCCAAAACCCCCAAATTTCTAGGTTTTTCACAAAACCCTAAAAATACTCATCCTTTTTATGAAATCTTTTCATCAACTTCAATCTCAACCCATTTTGTTCAAAGTTTCAAGAAAAGTCCTTAAATGAACACAATATAGTGTTTGATCTACAAATCATTCAATTTCTTGAACCACCAAGAACATTTTCCAAATAGGAGGAGGAGCTCACCAAAATCAACAAATAAAAACCTACATAAACATATATATAACTCAAATGAGAACCCTACCTCAAGCTCTTGATGGAGAGATGAAACCCTAAAGTTAGAAGATGAGAGAGAGCCTTGGATTTTCCTCCACCCAATGAAGCCCTAGCTTTGAATCTTCAAGATCTTGAGAGAGATGATGAAGATCTTGACCCAAGATTAGCAAAATCAAAGAGTTTTAGATGTTTGAGGTGTTTTTCTAGAGAGAAGGGAGAGAAATACAGGGTTTAGAGTGAGAGGGAGATGAGTATAATGGGTGCAAAATTGGGACCAAAACGTTATAAGAAAACAGGGCACAGACTGCTCAGTTGGCCGCTCATGCAGCCTTCCCCACCGCTCGAGCGCCCATCTCCACCACTCGAGCACCTACCTCCGCCGCTCGTACGGCCCACCTTCCTTCGCTCGAGCGCTCTTAGACGGTATGCAAATTCTGGGTGGTAGCCTCCACCGCTCGTGCGGCCCCTCCCACCGCACGAGCTGCCCAATTCCGCACGTACGGCCTGGCCCAGCAGCCCAAAAATTCAACTTTGCCCCCGGGCACCCCGGACTCACCCGCGCACCCTCCGGAACAACCGAAATTCAACACCGAACGAAATAAGAACTAGGAAACCATTCCCGGAAGTTTCAATCCAACGAAAATAAAAAGAGAATGAAGCGAAAAAAGAAAGAAGAAAAGGGAAAAAGAAGGTCGGTCGTCACAAAGGAGTTTTTTTTAAATGTTACATTGTTCCGTTTGAGAAAAGTACAATGTTACATTGTTACGTTTGAGAAAAGTATACTAAGAAATTTTTTGTTGTGTTACATTGGAGTGTTATGTTTGGAAAAAATACACTACTAAATTTTTTAGTGTTACATTGATTGGAGTCCTACATTTGGAAAAAGTATACTAAGGAATTTTTGTGAAATATTACGTTTAAGAAAAATATACTAATAAATTTTTTAGTGCGTTACATTAGAGTATTACATTTTCGGAGTGTGACATTGATGTGTTACGTTTTGAAAAAATATACTAACGAGTTTTTTTAAAGTTTTACGTTTAGTAATTTCAATATTATGAGACAACCTACATTTGTCTCTCAACACATAACACATGTAAATTTATACTTAGCCTTTTATGTAATTCAAATTAGAATGAGACTTTTAAGTATATAAGAAAAAATGAAAGACTAAACAGTTTATATGATTATTATTTGTGATTTATTTTTTATAGTAGTGATTTATTTTTAATTTTGTAGGATAGAATTATTGTTAAAAAAGTTGATACATTTAGAAAAATGCCAAAAAAAAATTGCTTTTATGATTGACATTTGTGTTTTTTCTTTCTTTCTTCTCCTTTTTTTTTTTTTTTTTTTTTTTTTGTCTTTAGTAAAAAGAATTAGATTTTAAATTTTTATTTTATTTATTTATTTTCTAGTACTTGCCATATAGGGGTGGATCATGTTGAATTTTTATTTTTTTATTTTTAGCTAATTAAGCTAAATCCAAATTGGCAAAACCATTTTGTTTATATAGCCAATAAATTACTTTTTTAAGTGAAAACAAACAGATGCATATGTAATCAGTCAGTTTTAGTACGTAATTTTAGTTTTCATATAATCACTAGTTCTAGTACATACTAGATGGCTCAACCATTAAACTATTAAGACTGTCGCTCAAGACTCACCAAAAAAAAATTTTAAAAATCTTGCTACAAAGAGTTTCGATTTTTCAAATGCCAACTAAGATAAATCTCATTTTGATGTTTGGTTGGTTTGATGCTAAAAAATCTCTTAGGCCGCTATTGCATTGAAGTCACAATCTAGCATGCTAGTCCTCTTTATACAGCACATAGCCAAATGCTTTATTGCTTCTCCAAGATGCAACAGATTTTGACTTAAAAACATTTTGGGTTAATTATGCCAATAGCTTCTCAATTATTAGTGAATATTATTTTACCTTATCATATATGAATTTGTATATTTTAATCTCTTCAATTATAAAAATATATCATTTTTACCTTTTCATGCCACCTCCGAAATAGACGTATTTATATAATTTTTAAGTTGAGAAAATCAATATGTATAGATTCATAGATAAGAGGCATTACTAACCAATACCCTTTATTTATTAACGAATATCACTTTATCCCTTCATTTATGAATTTGTATATTTTGACTTTTTAACTTTGAAAATGTATCACTTTCACCCATTCCAAGCAACCTCCAAAAAGGGTGCATTTGCATGGTTTTCAAAGTTGAGAGGGTAATTATGTATGAATTCATAAATGAAAAGAATAAAGTGTTATTCGCTAATAATTAAGGATGTTTTGATATAATTAATCCAAATATTTTTAAGTGCAGGCAGGCAGGCAGGTTTAAGATCAACAACTAATAAGGACAAGAAGAGTGACCAATAATATGGCATTGGTGGCTGGAAGGAAAGGAAAGCAACTTCACTGATCTGGAATCCATATATCATCCTTCCTCATTATCTCTGATTTCAGTCAAATCTATCACTTTTTTCCCTGATTTCAACCATTCTCTCACTTTTTCCCTGATTTCAACCAATATTGGTACCAACCTCTTGAAAGGTGGGGAACCAAACCAAACAACTTGTCCTCTCCTTATAAATGCAATGAGAAAACTACCCACCTAGCCAAAGTTGATGCACATCTGGCTGCATTCAAGGATTTGGGGGTAATTGTGGCATCCCAGTATTAGGGGTGCACAAAATACCTAAGTAAACTGAAGAATCGAATCAATTCAATTTTTTTTTTGGGTTGGTTTAGTTCGATTTTTGAGTACACTAGTTTGGTTTTAGGTCTTCAAAGTATTAATATAATAGGATTGAATTGGTTCTTAGTTTAGGCCTAAACCGAACCAACTGGAGAATCAAACCTCTTGCATGTAAAATTCTATTTATATTGACATGTTTACACATAATTGGTCTATTATAATGGACTTAATTGCACTTAATGTTTTTTTCATATACAAGCATTATTAGGTGAACAAAGGAAGTACTAGAAGTTTGAGTTGATTTTGTAGTCTATTGAATTTGCATTGGTTGTTGTGTGTGCTGATTTCCGACCACACTGCCCAAATAGGTACTCAGTTGGAAAACACCGGCAGAATAGATTGCGCCCGAACGACCTGAGATAGAAAGATGAGACTCCAGCGGTGGTTCTTCCACCCGGGGGCACTTCGACGATCAAGTCAGTAAACAATATCTCTCAAAGATAGCCAAAGTGCTTAGCTCACTACTCAGAATACAAAAAGCGTATCTTAAACCCACGAAGGTGCCTTACTTTAATAGTCAACACTAACCTGATCCCCTTAGAAGAAAAAATGAATATATATTTTATTTGGTTATTTGGTTACCCATAAAAATTGAAAATATATAGACAAACAGTCAAAGAGTGAGAGATACACAATTATAAAAAATGGACTAATAAATGTAAAAAGTTAAGCAAGAAATACAAAATACTTACAACCGCTAGATTATATATCTCAAGAATCTCATGTGTTGAAATTATCACATAATTTTTGTGTGTATTAAAATGGAAGCCAGAGAGTAGTGGTTGAAAGCAATGATTAACACAATAATTAAAGCTTTCACCAACCCACTGACCTTTAACTGTTCCTCTTAATCAATGCCATCCTAGCCCTGGGCTTTCAACAACAAGCAGTCAAAATGAAACATATTCATTATCATTGGATTCCTAATTCTCTTTAATTTTAGTACAACCTACAATGTTCTGTTAATTCAAGACATACTGTGGACAAGCACACTCTCTCTGTCTCTATTAGCTGTGTATTTGAAGCAACCTCTAGAGAGGAAAGAAAGCAAATTAAAAGACAGACAGAGATAATAACACTTGAGAGCCACAAAAATGCTGCTCAGAAAAGCCATTCACAAGACCAAGATCTTCTTTCACAAAACCCTTCAAAACCTCAAGTCATTTCTCTTTGGGGGCTACCAAAAACTCCCCAAAGCTCATCCTCTCAACCCCCTATATTGCAACAACCCAAACATAGAGCAATTGGATCAATTCTACCAAGACTTCTCTGAGCAGTGGAAGTCTGATAATGACAAGGTGGTGAAGACAAGCAAGAAGTCTATAAAATCAAGCAAACTGCCGATGAATGAGGAAGATACTTGTATAGAAGAGCAGCGTGCTCCAAAGAACAAACATGAATTAGACAAGAAGATAGGAAAAAGGGAAGACGGTTATATGTTGGCACAGAGGATGTTGATGAACGAGTTGGAGATGATGGATATGAACGATGATGTGGATTATGTGTTGGACATAGAAGAGGTGCTACACTACTATTCACGCCTTACGTGCCCGGTTTACCTTGACATTGTCGACAAGTTTTTCATTGATATGTCCTCCGAGTTCTTTCATCGCGGAGACTCAGCCCTCTGATGCTCTAGACACACTGCAGCCAATGCTTTCTTCACTGTGCAATATGAATCTACATTTCTCTCTTCGATTCCTCTATGTGTGTCCATGTGTGACTGTAGTCTGTATGTCTACATGAGTGTGGTTCTGTTTTTTCAACTCTGTAAACCTCTCTCTGCTAATTGCTAGTGGCTTTAGCTCATGTTCTTCTTTTTATCAGGAAAAAAAAAAATGAATAAAAAAAATTCATATGCATCCAGTTTCACTAGGAGACATTAGGACCCTATGACCAATCTTTACTTTTAAAAAAAAAAAAAAATCCTTAATATTTGTGTGTCTTCATTTTCTAGAGTCATATTTCTTCTCCATGTAGCTTTGGGTATAAATTTTTTTAGAATCACATAATCACAAGAAAAATCCCACATCCAAACGCATCACTATCATGGCTAGAGAATTCTTTGTACCGATTGCATGAGTCAATTAACATCCTATGAGAAATTTTCATCATTTCTTCCATTTAATGAACAAATCATAACATACGATTGCAAAAATTTCATTCCAGACTACTTAACAATCACAAAATTAAGACTAACTTGGGACTCAGGACACATTTGAACAACTGAGATTGGAAAGCTCCATCATTGCCACATCAAAGTCCTTCCTGAACAACGAAACAGCTGAGGCATACACTCTAACCCAACTTTCAGTTTCTTCGCCAACTGTCAGCTGCTGATCAACATAAAGGATTCCTCTATCCTCCAGAAGGCTACGGTAGTACAACATGCCAAAACCCGATCCCCGTGATGCATGGCCCATCTCCATTCTTGCCTCCTCAGGTGAGGAAGATACTGCGCCATCAACAGAAATGGTGATGGTGAGCCGTTGACAAAATGCGGTGATGATGATCGTGATGTGCGGCCGTTGTTGCATCTTGACCTCAGGAGATTGACGACTTCGATGTCTATAGTTGGGTCAGGCTCATCAGTCCAGCCAAAGTTGTAAAGCCGGTTGAGGATGAATTTGCCGCCAATTGTTCCAATGCTGTGAGCACCTATGCAGCAAAGGAAAGAAAATAAAAACCCAAATTTTAGCACTATTTCCAAAACAACAAAACCACGTTTGGTCATATATTTCGGATTGGATTATACATCAAGAGAAGAAATAAAAAAATTCACCAAATGATTTGAACAACTGAGATTGGAAAGCTCCATCATTGCCACAGCAAAGTCCTTCCTGAACAACGAAACAGCTGAGGCATACACTCTAACCCAACTTTCAGTTTCTTCGCCAACTGTCAGCTGCTGATCAACATAAAGGATTCCTCTATCCTCCAGAAGACTACGGTAGTACAACATGCCAAAACCCGATCCCCGTGATGCATGGCCCATCTCCACTCTTGCCTCCTCAGGTGAGGAAGATACTGCGCCATCAACAGAAATGGTGATGGTGAAGGTGATGGTGAGCCGTTGACAAAATGCGGTGATGATGATCGTGATGTGCGGCTGTTGTTGCATCTTGACCTCAGGAGATTGACGACTTCGATGTCTATAGTTGGGTCAGGCTCATCAGTCCAGCCAAAGTTGTAAAGCCGGTTGAGGATGAATTTGCCGCCAATTGTTCCAATGCTGTGAGCACCTATGCAGCAAAGGAAAGAAAATAAAAACCCAAATTTTAGCACTATTTCCAAAACAACAAAACCACGTTTGGTCATATATTTCGGATTGGATTATACATCAAGAGAAGAAATAAAAAAATTCACCAAATGGATATGAATGAACCTTTTATATGACCCATATCTGAGATTTCATTGACAAGAAAATGGCTGAAACATAAGATACCTATTCAATCGAACATGAAATTTCATTTTTTTTAGGGTAAATTACATTTACCTCCCCTGAGGTTTCTGACAAATACAGAGACCTCCCCTGTAGTTTCAATAATTACACTAACTTCCCCTACTTTACCTGACATTGTACAGATTCCCCCAATCCGTCAATTATACATAAACGACGTTACTTTTGTATACAAAATAACCACATTACCCTTTTATTTGAGCATGAAAAGACGAAAATACCCTTTGATTATAGTATTCAACTTTGTTTTTAATTTTAATTTTAATTTTTTTGTTCTCTCTCATCTCATCTCATCCCCCAATCCCAACTTCACTCTGGTTTCCAATTGCAACAGCAATGTAATCTAAATTCTGTAAATCACTCCCCAGATGTCCCTCATCTTCCTCCTCTTTCTCTCTCTACAACTCCGCATCTCTCTTCTCTCCTCTTCCTCCTCCACCACTGCCTCTGCCGCCCGCCACCTCCACACCACGGCCTCATCATGTCCTCTTGATTTCGACGTCCTTCGCCGACTCATTCAATCCTCAAATCGTCCAAAACTCGACTCCGATTCCGTCTCTTGTCACTACATCAAGGTCGGTCTCCGACTCATTCAGTCCAATTATCTCCGAATCACCAACAATTTTCTTCCTCCGTTTGACTCCGCCGAGTCTTGTTGGGTTTCATACCAAACCCTAATAAATGATTTCTTCCCCAATTTCAATGATATTCGCAAATCTGCAGTTTCCAGGCCTCTTGGATCGCCGAGGGTTGTATGAACATCACTACTCTTGATGCATTTGAAGGCAATGTTTCAAAATCGGCGTTAGACGATGCCGTGAAGGCGTGTAATCAATCTCTTGGTAACGGTTGGCCGTGCGCTTCTTGCACCACCAGTCTCTCGAGCCTCCAGCCTTCGAATTTGAACGGCCGATCAATTGGAAACCTCTCCGATTGCATGGCGTACCCTTCGATTTACGCCGCGGTGTTTATCAATCGTTTCAGCCCAACCGATGAAGATACTGCCAACTGTCTGTTTGGTTTTGATTTTTCTGATTTGAGCAATTCGAATGGTAGAGTTAGAACCATTGTGATTTGTGTAGTTGTGATAGGTTGTGGGTTTGTTTTGTTTCTGGGTTGTGGTGGGTTTTGGATTTTACGGCGAAAACGCGAGAAAATTAGGGAGAGAAATAAGGTTGATCATGAGAGAGAAACTAATTTAGCTTTTGGAATGAATTCAATCAATGAAAGTACTACTTTAGTTAGGTACACATTTGAGGAGACATTTTTGAAGATTTATGAGAGAGTGAGAGAGAGAGAGAGAGATGGTAATGGAGTTAGCAATCACAAAATGAAGGCAAAGGAAACTATCCACCATTTTCTCAGAAAATACACTGTTCCGGACATAGATGGGTTGAGGACACTTGAGGGCATTATAGACATTTTAATGTTTGGCTTTGATGACATCAGCTTTTTCTGTGAAATAAATAAACGGAAGTAAACAGAAGGGGGAATCTTGACATTGTCAAGTAAAGCAGGGGAGGTTATTATAATTATTCAAACTACAGGGGAGGTCCCTGTATTTGTCAGTAACCTCAGGGGAGGTAAATGTAATTTACCCTTTTTTTTATGTTTTGGTAGGCAAGAAATGAAACTCATCCTAACCACCCTTTATATTATAATCCCTTTTTCAGTGTTCTAAATTATGATATCTTTAAAATAAAATGAAAGTTATAAGTACTTTACTTTTTATGAGTTCGATTGAGAAACCAAATAGACCAATTTAAGACAAATTTAGCTCTTCTTAAACCAGGTAGAGAATTTAAATTGCGATAATCTAAGAGAAATCGGGACTCAAGCCAATTGATAAACATAACAATAATGCAAATAGATCAAAGATATTAAACAATTCTTTTCAGTGAGAAATCAAGGGAGAAAGAAAGTGAGAAATTAAATTTTTTTTTTAGTACCTAAGAGACTGACTGTCTCTCTTTCATCAAACCCCCTTGAGGCAAACGATGTGATGGTTTGAGGGAGATCGTCTTGGGGACTAGGAAGTTCGTATGTTGCAATTTCTGAGAAAGAGAGATTGCTGTCTCTCCTGCCAGTTTTCAGGTAGAATGGGCCACCACCCTGAAATTCAAGGTACAGTTCTAAATGAGATGACAAACTAGAGAGAGAGAGAGAGAGAGAGATAACAAATCAGAACAACACTTTCTCTAGCAGTCAAGACAAGAATATCAGCACAAGAAACTACTCCGGGGCAAGCTTCTTCGAGCTTCGATTTGATGATGTCAATTAGATCAAAGCCCTTCAAGGGTTCATTTGGAGGAGACTCTTTCTCACTGTCAACTCCATCAATGGCATCGAACAAAACCGACTCGTCACACCCCTGTAACACAATTGATTAGAAAACAATCCCAAATCACTACAATCAAACAAAAACAGTATGAACCCAATGTGACTAAGGATAGAGTTCACTGAGTTTCAGAGAAATAACAAAAACCCAAATCAAAATCACCAACAAAGAACAAAAGGCACAGCAAGGAAACAGATTAGAATCAGCGAGTTCTCAAGGACAAAACGCCCTGGATCAAGATTGGGTGAACAAATCAGAGAGCAGGAACGCCAATTGGAACTATGACAAACGCAAATCAAAACCACCAACAAGGAACAAACCACATTTGATTTAGATTGAAATCAGAGTGTTTGCAAGGAAAATTATCAAGATTGAATAAAAACCAACAAAAACCCTGATAAGATGGAATGAAGATCAAGAAGGAAGAAGAAGAAATTTCACCTCAATGAAGCAATCATGGAAGACCAGCCGCAACGGCACTGGAGCAACGTCGGAGCGTGCCACGCTTGATCGGATGATTTTCTGGGCTTGGGGGCAAGATTCACGGTAGAAATCATATTCGAGTGATCCGGAATCGTCGACATCTTTGAACTTCTTGGCCTCGGTGGATGAAATGAACAGTGGGAGAGACATTGATGGATATGATAAAATTGAAGCTGAATCACAGGAGGAAGACCAAGTGATTGTTGGCGAACCCTTCTTGGTTTCAGCATTTTCTTTCTTCAGAGAGATCAATACACACAGTAAGAACACCAAGAAGCTCAGTTTCCTAATGAAATCCATCTCGGACAGTTCGAGCAGTATGATCATAAATCCCTCTCTCTCTCTCTTTCTCTTTCTCTCTCTCTGTTTTCTGATCTTCTCTGTTTTTTCAGTTCTTGAAAACTTGATATTCAGGGGATTCGTTATGAATATCACAATTTGAGCGGGAATGAATGAGTCTGAACGACCAAATTCCCTTCCAACTGAAAATTAGTTTAACCTGAAATAACTAGCATGCTGATGTGACAAGAATACCCTCGGAAGTTATTTGGTGGTGTCAAGATACTGTCACAGTCACGATCACAGTTACATAACATCCAATGGTGTTGTGATTGATAAAAGAAATAGAATTTACGATTTTGTATTGAGTAATTAGGATTGCATTGTGATTTGTAAAGAGTATCACCACCCAGGAGTATCAAATAATTTTTTCTCAGAATTCTTGATGAAGTGCAGACAAGGCTATCGGGTCATTTTAGAAAGTCAGATAAAATCATAGTTGTTTGATTTTGTAATCACCCTATTACAAAGTTGGAAGTTCAAAACAGAATAAGCTTTGTTTACACAATATTATTATGACAATTGTATTTTGGTATTAAATTTTCGATATGACCCCATATGTTACTAATTTAGTAATTTAATGGATCCATATTTCATATTTTAGGTCCATGCATAAGTGACCCATCTAAAATTTGATATTTAAATTTTATTAATAGAGGGTAAAACACAGTCACAAGCTACTCTTTAATTAGGACATAATGTTCTACTAGAAGAATCGACCAATCTTGCACTCGGTTACCATTTGCAAAATCATATTATGTGCCTGTTTGGCAGAAATTATTTACAGCTTATTTCAGCTTTCAGCTTAATTTAAGCTATTTTGATATGTTTGGTTTAACTTATAGCTTATAGCATATAGCTTTGTGAAAGTCAGAAATCAGCTTATTCTTTGAGTGGAGCAGGAGATGCTTTAAGAATAAGCTGAAAATCAGCTTTATTCTTTGAGTGGAGCAGGAGATGCTTTAAGAATAAGCTGAAAATCAGCTTAAGCTGAAAGTTATAAGCTAAGCTTTCAGCTTAATTTAAGCTATTTTGATATGTTTGGTTTAACTTATAGTATATAGCTTTGTGGAAGTCAGAAATCAGCTTATTCTTTGAGTGGGGCAGGAGATGCTTTAAGAATAAGCTAAAAATCAGCTTAAGCTGAAAGTTATAAGCTATAAACTGTTTAGGCATAAGCTATAAACACTTTTTCACAGCTCTACCAAACAGGTCTTATGTGCAAAGAAAAGTGAACAAAAAATATATATATATATATATATGTGTGTGACCTAAATTCATTTGATATGTGACCCCTCCCTATCAATCTTAGAATAAATTTGGATCATATATACATATTGTAATTTGTTTATATACTGCTATAGAAAATGTGCTTACTAGTTCCAAGCTTCTTATTCAAGCTTGGATCTACACAATTAATGCTTAATGTTGAATGAGGTCAACGCAGAGTTATTGTTACACTCAATATTCAGCATTTATTCTTAAGCCATTTAAAACCAAAGTGGTACGGGAATCAAGACAAGGATTTGGTGTTCAAATCACTGCCTCAAATTATTTTTCTTGACAGCTTCATTCATGAACCATGATGATAAATTTCCACAAAGATAGACAAATTGGTGTTTTTTTTTTTTTTTTTTTTTTTTTTTTTGTTGTTGTTGTTGTTGTCAGTTTGCAAACTCAGAGAGGGATAACCAATAAAATTAGAAAGGAAAAACAGTATACAAATGCAGTCCAAGAATATCCACTTTATCATGAAGAAACTATAACGCTTTACAAAGCAAATCATGCCAAATAGCATGTGAATAATAGTCTTCTGTAATTGAGTTTAAAAATAAAAAATAAAAATAAAATCAATAATAATAACCGGAAATCATAAATGGGATCTCCAACAAGGAAAATTATAACCCCTGCCACTCCAAATCTTGCCTTGGCAGCAGAAAATAAGCTACCAGAAAAACCACAAAGTAGTTGTATAAAGCAAAACAATAAACGGGTTGATCTTGCAAGCAACAATGTTCTTAGAAAGTAAATCCCTTCACATCCGACGTCTATATGCACTTCTATATAAAATTCAGTTGCCAGAAGAAGAAACTAGGACGTTGTGCTCCTTTAAACGTCTCTGAAAATGAGACAAACGGTTTTGTAATTGTACAATGCCAGCAGCTTTCTGGGACAAGATTGCATTCAATCTAGAGACATAATCATCCAACTGATTTCCTGGATGATCTGCCTCAACCAACAGATTCATCTCCTGCAAGTATGAAAAAAGTACATAAATTTCTGAATCTATATAGGCTTACATATGCACGTGTCAAATGCAAAAGTGGGTCAACCAAAGAAATTCACAGGTTGCAAAACTAGGATGATGAAAATGATGGGAAAATTTGAAAGATCAAAAGGGAGGGAGTGATGATCGTGCAAGGTTTTCCAAAATCTTCCAGTGTAATGATCTTTTCCAAAATCTCTCAATTTTAATAAGCTTTTAACTTTTTTTATGGATTCTTTTTTAGTTAATATTCAGATTTTTACATTTTACTTTTTTAATGGGGTTTTGGCTTTTACCGAAAGCCAAAATTCAAATAAAAAAGGTAGCAAAAAAGCTGATCCAAAGAAGGTATAATCCTACTTGAAGAAAAAGATAAGCCAGTGCAAACTATCACTAACCTCTCTAACTATATCCATTGTCTCCTCCACTTGTCTCCTATGAGCATTGACAAGATCTTCCTCTTCCTGAAACACAGAACACAACCACAAGAGTCAATGATATGGAACCTTAGCTGATAAAAAAATGTCCAAAGACAACCTTACCTTTAATAGGGCATTCAAATCATTATCAGGATGCAAGTTTTTTGCATCGAATTTTGGTGGGTCCTTCCATTTTGTCTGCCCAATGGATCTCCTCACTTTATCTTCTGAATTCGAGATACCATATGATTCCACTTTCCCATTCTTCTTCCATAATGGCTTCTCTGGCTCTTGGAATTCTTCTGAAACATCAAATTCATCCCTATCAGCTAGTTCAAACCATGAATCATCAATATCATCTTCAAAGGTTGGCCCAGGTGGTAAGATTGATGATACAGGCATCGTTGTTGATTCCTTCAGGTTTAGTGTCAATGACAAAGTATCCTTCTTGGAATTGTTCCCTTTTGAAAGGCTCTTCACCCTAAAAGTAGTATTTGTGAGAGACATAGCTAAGTCACACAGAAACAAGGGGAGAAAGAAAATAAAAAACCTACAAATGAAAGGCATAAATTTTTGTTATCAAAAGATTGTCAGTACCTGTCAGCATATCTTAAGGTGTTAAGAGTATGTTCACAAGATCCAGAGTTCGGAGAAATGCAAGAGATCATAACAGTCCGAGAGTTTCCAACGAATGAATCCCTCAGGACTTCAGTTAATTTACTGCCTCTGAAAGGAATATGACCCTGATCATTATCAAGCGCTCTTATGCACTCTTTCAATGCAAGCAAGCTTTTATTGATCTCCGCACCTTCCATTCTGCATTAGATGTTTTAAAACACCTTAGAGAAAATAGAAAAGAAAAACAAATTGTGACTGTATCGCAAGACTAACTACCATCAGAAAAATATATATATATATTTAGTAGACTGACAACATTTACAAGAAACATAGTACGATGACTAATTATTTTTTATGAAGGAATAGCCCCAAGACAAATGGTCAAATTTATCCATTTGAAATGAATTCTGTCATGGGGAGCCCATATTTAATGTTGTGTTTGGATCATAGATTTGGGTAAGGATTTGAAAAGGAAAATGCTATGCATTCCAAATGATTTACAAAATTTTCTACCAAATCTCTCACATGAGTGTGAGATCCACACAAACCCACATGTGTGTGGTCCCATACCCATGTGAGAGGTTTGGTAGAAAATTTGGTAAATCATTTGGGGTCTCTAGCATAACTCATTTGGAAATGGAAAGGAAAACACGAGTGAAATGGAGAAAAAATTTAGCTCATATTTCATTCACATTTCCCTCACCTTTTCCTTTCCCTCCCTTTGCAAATCCCTACTTGAATCCATGATCCAAACACAGCCTACAAGTTACGCATCTTGTCAAGGGGGGGAAAAATAAAAGGGAAAAGTGATATAAACCTTGTCAGCTTGTCATTGTCAGTTGTGTCCGCACCACGTTCACTTCCAGCAAGATCTATGAAGGAGAGCTTGCCAACAACTCTGGGAGGCTTAGATTCATAGCCATCAGCTAGCCTTTTAATAACAAGCTGAAGTATAGCATGTGATCGTGAGGATTCCTCATTTGCACCAGTTGTGCCTGTGCTTCTTGTAGCATTTCCTTTCTCAATGAGGTCCTTGATTGTCTCCACATCTGATACTCTGTACTCTTGCAAACCCACAATGCAAACTTGCTGTTTACCATCCTCTCTCATGCAAAGTTTCCTGAACAAGTAGAGAATTAAATTTCATGAAAATCTGAAGTCTGCGAATGGTAGCATAGAAATCCACCAGGACGTAAAAATAGAACTTACTTCCGATCACTGAGGAGATCATAAAGCTTTCCTCCATATATCTCAAAGAAGCTGACAAACAATTGAAAGCCTTGGTTCCGGTAAGTATGGTGCATGAGCCTCAAGATATCCCGGGATGCCTTGATGGGCAATGGTTTCATAGTGTAGGTTTTTCCACTTCCTGAACAAGTAAACAATCAGTCATTGAAAGCTTACGGTAAGTAAAAAATAAAAAAATAAAAAAAAAAGACATCCGATAGTAGAAACCCACATGAGTATGAGATACATCACAAGTTCATTGGTTTAAACAGGAAAAGGCAAATAATTTTCCCATTTCCTTGTCCAATTTTGAGGTATTCATTTTAAAGATGTCTGGAGAAAACAATAATTTATATTCACTAAAAACTAGAAATGTAGTTAGAAAATCAAAGCATTTAACCCCACACACACACACACGTTTATCTTCAGCAAGATCTCAACCATGATTAAGCAACAAAATGGGGTTAAATTCAGAGTAAGTGGATGGATAAAAAAAATACAACTTTAACAAACATCATGAATTGTACAATGCAGAAGCTGAATAAATGGAGTGGCTGAAATCAGTCACTTCCTGTATTCTCTCAAATATCACTGACCTCCCATTAAAAATGTATATAACACTTGAGTCCATCCCTTAGTCAATCGTTTATTGACCAAATGCAAATTGCTGATGTTAGTACAAAAAAATTAAAAAATGCCCAATTTACCCTTAATAATACACAACTCTTTCTCTTACATCAAACACCATCAATTCTCTCTGTTCCATTGTTGTCGAAAACACAACTAGTAGTGCATCAAAACCCAACAAATTTACTCACAACCCAATCACCACTAGTAGTGCATCAAAACCCAACAAATTTACTCACAACCCAACCACCTAACAACATTTATACCATCATTTCTGTCTCCTCTCCCTTTCCCCACTGACACCCACCACCCTCTTCCTCTGTGGCACTTCAACCACTTGCCATTAGCCATTGGCTACCAACCATGGGCCACTTTCCACAGGGCACTACTAGCCACTCCACCAACACTTGCATTACTATCTTCTCCCTCCCCTCCCCTTCCCCACACTAAGACCCACCACCATTGTCTTCCTCTTCCACAAGCCACCAATCACTTGCAACCAGCTACCAACCTGTAGACACCTCATTTTGACCGACCTTAAGACTTGGGCGCTTTCTTTTGATCACCTGACAATGAAATCAAGAAGGTGTTTCTCATAAAATCCTCAATAAGAACATAGAATTTGAGCTTTATTTTCAACCCTAAACCTATTTTGGCCAAGTGTTCTAATTAGAAACAAGTCTTCTCGTCTCTAACATGTCTTTTCCCAAAAAAAGAAACAAGAATGTTGGTGAAGGGGACCCCCAACCAAAGACTCCACATCCTAAACCTTAACCACTCTGCCAAAGCATCACCTTGTGTTATATTTCCCCCCAAATAATATTTGACAATTTCAAACCAACAGGCAAAGAAGGTGTATTTTTGCATTTTTTTTTTTGTGTATATGGAACACTCTCCTACCCCATTGGCTGACCCATATATCACCAAATACATACCTAATCATCCCCCAATTGTCAAAAAGAAATTTCAAAAGAGGGATCTAGTCTAACCACTTTGAAAACTTCGCCCTCCAATCACATTCTTGTCTCTCGCCTTCTTTTTTACCTGAACTCTCCCTCATTGCCTGTATAGAATGATCAGATTGTAAGAAAGGAGGAGGACTAAAAAATTAAAGAGAAAAGAGTGGAAAAGAGAGAGAAAAAAAGAAGAGAAAATTCAAGTTTTGAGCCAAAAACACTTCCATCTTCCATATACACCTTCCATGGATTACACATACTGAAATTCCACCTTTTATACATCCAAAACAGTTCCAAAAATTCTGAAATAGCTAAATTTCAATAGTGATTGATCAAAGGAAAAATTGAGTGTTGTTGAAAGTGAGGAAAAATAAGAGATTTAGCCACTTTTCCACCACACACCCAGAGCTCCATTTTAGTTTTGAATTGAGGATAAAGAACACATTTCCTAAACTTGAGGGTGATCAAGAGGAAGTTTGGAAATCAAGAAGTTCAATATTTCTTTGGAATGCAGGTTTTGCTGGGCCTAGTTAGGCCTATAGGTTAGCTTCTTTTGGACAAGATGGCGTAATCTCCCAATGTTGACCAATTTCCGCCGACGGTTCCAAGGAACATGAAGCTTTTATTTTGTTTACTTTTATTTTGAGTGGTTTGTGAGGTTATGTTTTATTTTATTGCAATATTCCCTCCTCTCTCTCTCATTTGGTTTGCAATAATTTATTCAAAGTATTGTAATAATTTCCCACCCCACTTCTTTCAATCCCGTTCTTTTACTTGCTTTCCTTATTTGTGGATATACATCATTTTTTTTTTAATATATTTTTGTTATGCATTCATGTTTCATTCATCTTGATTCGGCTAATTTTACATTTGTGGATTTAATCAATTCCAATGTAATTATGTGCACTACCTCATGTTCTTGAGATGATTCCCATGTCATATTGTTAAGTATTATTGTATAAGGGTAGTTAAGGATAGTTATGTCTTTTGTTCCTTTAGTCTTTTATTATAAGTATGTGTAACCCTAATATTTTTTTTTTGTAGCTGTTCGCGGGACGTTGGTAAATATGTAATTTTTTATACATTAGCATCCTGCTTGTGTGTCTTCCTTATTATGTTTAGTATCCTACCATGAGAATATTTGCTTATTTGATATAACTGTATGAGTGCCGGCGGATGGAGGTCGTGTCGCTTAATTTGAAATAATGTTGATTTTCATGTTTGTAAACTCAATTTATTTGGATTGTACATCTTCAAAACTCTTTCAAAACTACATGAAATCAAGTTGTTCCAAAGTGGGTGACATAATCTATACTTGTATGATTCACATAGTAATTTTTTAGAATTTATTAAATAATCGGAATATGAACACATAAAGGAAATAAAAATCATGAACACATAAAGGAAATAAAAATCATATCATGGTTAGTAAAGGCTGATTTTTTGATCGGGTGAGCAGGGGTGCTCACTTAATGACCTTCTCCCTTCATACTTAAGGTTCCGAGCCAAGCATCCTTGGTTATGACGAACAGTGGCTTGGCACGAGTCACGAGTTTCCTAATTTTTTCAAAATAAATATTAGGTAGTGATTCTGAGATCTGATAACGCAGTCCATTTTTGGCAAATGTTTTTGCAATAAAATGAACTTTCTAAAAGTTGCCAAATGCGGACTCTCGTCTACGTTTCACATTGCACTTGTGAGACTAGATCAAAGAGACCGAGGGTCTAAATTGTTTAACGTGCACGGGTACTCCCCGAGCATGTTACAGTTTCTAGCGACTCTGCTGGAGATATTATGAAACCTTGACTCGAACTCCATGATGACTTTTATTTTCAATTATATGTTCATTGCATTGCATTGCATTGCATGCATTGGTACACTTCAAGTCTCTATGTTGCCCAGATATGGGAAAGCCATTACACAGAATTAACATAATCTTGTTGTGTTCTTGTTTGGTAGTTTGGAATTACGACAGCAACAAAGATTTAGTACTGCAAGTGAGCAAGAGAGACTATGTGACCTACAACACTTCGAGCCCCATTACAGAGTAAAAGGACGGTAACACTAAGGTGAGACTTGATAAAGCAGGACCATTCTACTTCATTAGTGGAGCTGAGGGACATTGCGAGAAGGGATAGAGGCTGATTGTTGTGGTCGTGTCTGAGAGACATAGGAGGCACTTGGGAATTGCTTCGGCACCATCTCCCGTTGAGATCCAAGGTCCAGCCATTGCACCGACTAGCGGTGCCACCAGGTTCCAGGGCGGTTTAGTGGTGGTGACATTTGTTGTTTTTGCTAGGTTGGGTTTGATGTGTATTTTTAATTCAGTACTATTCAATTGATTTGATTTATATATTTAATGCTGGGAGAGAAAATGAGATGTATTTTTTTGGGGGGAATGATTTGATTTTCTATGTATATGGAGTTGACACTAGATGTTGTTAAGCTACACAACTAAAATTCAATATAAATTCATTTATTTATTTAATGTACAGTGCCTTTTTATTCGGATAAATTACATTGCCTTCCTTGGAGTTTGATTTAATACAGATTTTCTCTATATTTCAAAAAGTACTCTTTTCTTCTTTTACTTTTTGATAATTGCGTGTCGAGATTGAATACCCCTCAACTAATCTCAGAGTTTGGAGTTAACGATTGAACAAATTTCCACCACCCATCATCACCACTACCACCACTTTCCCTCTTCCATCTACTTCTCTAGTAATGACTCAATCATTAGAAAACTTAAGTATGCTCGACTAAGGTTCTGTACAAAAGAGAGCCCATTGTTTTTAATATTATACACATATATCACATCAAAATAAATACATTACACAATGAAAATAAATATATTAATAACATAACCTTCTTCTTTTTTAAATCTAACAAATATATATTGATTTTCTTTTCTAGCAACAGGCTCAAAATGGTAGCATTGCCCTAAGTCCATCGGTCCACACAATTGTCAATGAAAAGAAAATGAAGAATTTTTTTCAGAGAATTAGGGAATACAGGGTAAGGCTGAATCCACAGAAATGCACCTTTGGGGAACAGAAATGCACCTTTGGGGAGTTCAAGTCAAGGTTTCATAATATCTCCAATAGGGTCGCCAGAAACTGTAACATGCCCGAGGAGCACCCGTGCGCGTTAAACAGTTCGGACCGTCAGTCTCTTTGATCTAGTCTCACAAGTGCAACGTGAAACGTAGACGAGAGTCCACATTTGGCAACTTTTAAAAAATTCATTTTATTGCAAAGACATTTACTAGAAATGGACTGCGTCATCAGATCTCAGAGTCACCACATAAGATTTATTTTAGAAAAATTAGGAAGCCCATGACTCGTGCCAAGGCCACTGTTCGTCGTAACCAAGGATGCTTGGCTCAGAACTTTAGGTATGAAAGGGGAAGGTCATTAAGTGAGCACCTCCACTCACCCAATCAAAAAATCGGCCTTTACTAACCATGATATGATTTTTATTTCCTTTATGTGTTTCATATTCCGATTATTTAATAAATTCTAAAAAATTACTATGTGAAGCATACAAATATAGACTATG